CCGAGAAGAAATCTAAGAACTTTCCGAACAAGGGAATTCTGTAAACTTAACAATCATCATCTTGGGAATCATCAGAAAACCGAATAAAATAATCCACAATTGTCCAAATTGGCCAAATTAGTAAAACACGGTTGTAACGTCCAAAATCCCCGAGACGGTAAAACCGTTATTAAGGTCAAAAACAATAACCTCGAGATCAACGTCTCCTTACATTCTCCGAGCGGATCTCGGGTCGAGAAAATGAGAAACGATCAAAACCGAACAACCGACCAGCTCACCAATGGGTGAGCTAGCCGTGCCTAACCACGCCTATTTGCGAGCTAAACCAACCAGTCCAGCTCGCCAACAGGCGAGCTGGCCGTGCTTGACAAGCTCGCATGTTGGTGAGCTGAGCTAAACCATCCATGCCCCTCGACTTGATATTACTCTGAACCGTGATCGTAACATCTCTCGTATTGTCTTGATCGTCTTACCGTTGGAGTTTTACGATAAAAACCATAAAATACCGGTTTTCTCGTAAAACCTCGAGTAAATCGTATAAAATGGCAACGGTTAAATGAAACACCGAGCATTGCCAAACAATACGATTAACTCGAGATATTTTATAAAAAAACGCTGAAGATTTGTTTTCTCGGAAAACCTCAAGTAAATCGAACAAAACGGAAACGGTTAAACGAAACATCAAACATTGCTAAACTATACGATTAACTCGAGATGTTTTATAAAAACGGCATCGTATCAGGAAAAGATCTCATCTAAAGTCGTAAAACGGCTAAATCGCAAAACGGCTCGGAAAGACCTAAAACACGATAAAAGTCCACTCACGACTTTACACGAGGTCCAGCCCAAAGATATGATGTCGGTTTACTCATTATTCGCAGAAGTGGGAAAATGTCAAGTTTGAAGATAAAATAGAAGTTTTCCGAAGAAAAATGGAAAGATCGAGAAAATTGGAAGATTTTCGATAAATGCGAATCAGAGCGGAAAAGAAAAGACTAACCGCCTAGAGAAGGAGTATATAAGCAGAAAGTCGAGGACAAGAGCAAGGGACACGATTTTCAGAGCTCTCGTCTCACAGAAAAAATTAGAGCATTTAGGCAATTTTCCGTTTTTGTTATCGAGCTGCGTCTCAACTAGGGTTTTAGTCTTAGGTTGCTAGAACTAGGAAAATCTCCGCCAGATCTTGTAGCCAAAGCTTTCACCTCGTTCTACCGTTCTTACGCAAAATCGGAATAAGAAACCTCTTTGCTCTCTTTTCGATTCTCATATTACTTTACTGTTTTTTTCGTATTTTGATTGCTTGCGTGTGGTTAAACATATATCCAAGACCTATGGGAAATTAGGGTTTTCCCTAAGTTCCTTTATTCACGGAACTCGACGGTGTGAATTTTGGTTCCCACATGTATCACACCCAAAACATATTAACATACAAAGTAAAAATAATTGCAAAAGATATTTTTCATTATCTTATAACTCATAAGTTTATAACCAATGTTTTAGTTTGGTGAATCCAAAAATTAAATTAAATGAAACAAAAATCAAAAATGTCAATCACAAATGAAATAAAAAGAGAAACCAAATCAAAACACTACGAAAGCTCGAATCGTCATCGTCGGAGTTGTAGTCGTCATCATCGGAGCTTGAATCACTATCACCGAAGCTCGAATCATCATCATCGCCCGAGCTCCTTACCTTTCCCAGGGGAAGTCACATGAATCGTCTTCTTCTCATTCGTTCTCTTGTTTTTCAGGTTAAAAAATAGAGAAAAAAAATGAGGGTCCTTATAATTCCGCATGACCCGTTTCTGTCCATCCCGCAAAAGACCTAGTCCCGCAAAAACTCATCCCGTGAGGTCCGCAAATTTGCAGATCTAGAAAATCTCGTCCCAATACGTTCCCGCGACTGTTATTTACAGGATAAACCCGCGGTCCTGATCTATAATTGCCATCTCTAGTGGTTTCATTATGGTTGTTTGGCTTAATTAATAGTTATTAACATCTTCCAGTTTGTTCTTCTGTTGGTGTTTCTCATGTTTTCGACTCTGTATATAGTATGATTTTTTGTTTTGTTTTTGAGTATTTCTTAGGTTCACCCCCTAGGGTGAACCTAGAGGTTCACCAACCAATATAATTTCATTGTTTTATATTTAGTATCTTTTTAAAAAAGAAAGAAAATATTGTTGAGTTATATTATGTTTTTAAAATAAAAAAATAAAAGAAAATAAAAAATAATATTAATTGCAAACAAAAAACTTTTTAAAAATAATATTTTTAACACCGTGAGTAAAACACTAAACCCTAAACCCTAATCCTAAACCCTAAATCCTTGGGTAAACCCTAAACCCTTGGATAAATCTGTGATTTAAATATTTTTGATACTGACACCAAAACACTAAACCCTAAACCCTAAATCATAAACCCTAAATCTTAAATCCTTAAGTAAACTCTAAACCCTTGGATTAATCATAAATCTTATGGTTTAAGATTACTCCAAGGGTTGAGGATTTATCCAATGGTTTAGGATTTAGGATTTAGGGTTTAGTGTTTTGTTGGGAGTAGTAAAAATATTTTTTTAAAACCTTTTTTACTTATAAATACTATTATTTATTTATTTATTTTTATCTTTTAATTTTAAAAACATAATATAATTCGATAATAATTTGTTTCCTTTTTTAAAAGATACAGAATATATAACAATGAAATCCTATTGGTTGGTGAACCTAGAGGTTCACCTTAGGGGGTGAACCCAAGAATTTCTCTTTGTTTTTATGCTTTCATCTGAGACTCTAACATATATCTTTGTTCCAAAAGTTACAAACTCTATGAGATTGACAATATTAGTTGGTTTCTTTTGTGTCAAGTCAATTTCAGTTTTAAAATATGAGATTTAGAATTTAACCTCTTATGGACATTTAAATCAATACTGATCACATGAGTTGGTAATAGACATATTTGAAAGGAAGTGTTGAGCGGGTATCTCTAAGAGTATAAGTTATAATGTATAAGGGCATTTCCAGTGGAGATTCTTAAGTGCGATCCTTAGAAAAAAATAATATAATAATATAAATAGTTAAGGATTTTTAGGCAAGCGAATCTTTAAAATCCTTCATTAAAGATTGAAACATAAGTAGTCTCGTTACTGTTCACAGGTTCCATCGACACGTGACGATCCGTGATTAGTTGATAATCCATTTTTTTATCCGGAAAATAATTAAAAAAATCAAAAATCATTTTTTTAAAGATCCCACTAGAGTAACACCATTATCCTTATTCTAACAAAAGAAGAAACTGTATGAAGAGATAGTTACAAAAAAAATCATTATTAAAACATTAATTACTTAGTATAATTTATTTGATTATTTTCATTAATCAATCAAACATATAACATTTCTATAAAATTGGATAAAATATTCTTTTATAAAACAATAGTCATCCATTTGGTATTGAAATATAAATATACTTTCATCTTATTCTATCTCATTAAATTATAATCATATTATAGAACTAAACTTTAATTCATGAGTTATTTAGAAAATATGTCATTAGAAATCTTTGAAGTTTTGATAATTCATAAGAATATTAATAATAAATCAATTTTAATTGTATTTAATTATAAAAATGTTGAAAATTTTAAAATTCAACGAAACCGATTAAATTTATTTGAACAAATGAACTAGAGTTCAACATTTTTTTTGTAGCCTTTATAAAAATATACTAATCACTTGGACTTTATAATATATTAGATTTTTATTATGTATAGTCCAAATTTGTTTAATATTTACATAATACTTTTAAATGTAACAAAAATAAGATGGCTCATAAATAATTTGTGATATACTGAATATAATTTACAATTTGTTATATATTAGTTTGTCTACTGTAATATTTTTTTGAAATTAAATTATTTCATTTGAAAAAAATAATATCACAATCAATGTCAATATCAAAACACCAAACTATTGCATATGAAACATAATAAATTCTTATCTATAATACATATTATAAGACAAACCAATCCTGTTATAGAGAAAAATATATTTTATGTAAAAATATATAACAGAAAAATATAAACCACGAAAGTGAAAAAGCCTTTAATATACTAATTATCTCAATAAAAGTGAAAAATATCCTCCCACAACGTAAACACCAATATCAAAATACAAGGAATATGTAAACACCAAAATTATTTAACATCAGAATAATCTAATCTATTAAAAGTGACTACACATCATTTCACGCAAACATCCCTATGAAAGCCCATCACGTTTTTTGGGTTGACAATTTAATCGGCTTTGTTTTCACTAATCTATAACTGGACCTTATTACCTTATATCATCTATAATCAAAACGAAATTCTTTGAAACGAAATAGTTTGTCGGACTTTTATTAAACCATCGCCAAGTTCACATATGAATAGCCTAGAAACCAGAATCTATTAAAAGTGAAGTATAAATGGGAAATAACCCTGACCTTTTCTCATTATTTACAGTTCTCTGCCACTGACTTTATCAAAAAAAGTTGGCTAATTAATCCACATCATTTCACGCAAACATCACTATGAAAGCCCGTTACGTTTTTTTTGGTCGACAATTTAATCGGGTTTGTTTTCACTAATCTATAACTTGACCTAATTAGCTTATATCATCTATAATCAAAACGAAATTCTTTGAAACGAAATAATTTGTCGGACTTTGATTAAACCATCGCCAAATTCACATATGAATAACCTAAAAACCAAAACTAATATATGACTGTTATGAATATTATGTGATATCCAATATGGAAAGTCCTATATTTACTTATTCTCCAAACACTACTTGTTTTCCAAATTAGATTTTCTCCTCAAAATATTGTAATCCTATGTAACTCCTCCTCGTACTGTCTGCTCAGAATAGCATCATAATAAAGAAAGAGGAAGACTGAAAATTGTATAAAGCAATGGTATTTAATTTGATAGCACAAATTGTCTTAAAATGAAACATCATTATAACACTCTTATTCTTAAAACATATCCATATCTTTGAGCTTCTAAATAAATAAATAAAAAAAAAAACAAGAGGAAAGAGCAAATAAATAAGGCAGTAGATATTGAGAAAGAAAAGAATCAAATGAAGTGGATGTTGTTGCAATTTGATGAAAGTATGGGGAGACTTAAGAGATTAGCTCGCAAGAACATGCTCCTGTCCGCGTCGATACCAACTCTCACAGTTTCGAGACATTCCAACTTTCCCAAGAAATGTCTCATTAGTTTAAGCTCTTGAAAAGAACCTCCATACTCTACAATCTCTAGCACTTTCACTTGACATGTCCATAAACAAGATATTACCTTACTCTTCTTCTTCTTCTTCTTGTTAGGAGTGCAAGCGCATGCATCTCCGCATTTATCTGTGACTCTGTGCACAAGACCCTGGAAAAACACCACCAACCAATCTTGACAATGTACAAACAACAAGAAGAAGAAGAAGAGAGAAGATGAGAAAGTTACGTTGAAGACAAGAGTGTGTAGATTTGGACAACTGTTAAGCAAAAGTGGCATTACTTGCCAACCTTTCTTCTTGTTGCTCTCAATAGATAAGTTAAGGAGGTTTTTGAACACCGGCATAGATTTGCAGCAGAAATGAAACGCCTATAAAATGTATATACAAACAAGGTGAGAGAGACCAGGAGTAGATTGAAGTGAGAGAGAGAGAGAGAGACCATACATACACATATACCTCAAGTGAATCAGGAGACAAGTGAAGGGTTGTAATGTTACTTATACCAACAGCTAGGTTTGTAACATCACCATATATAGGCTTGTTTGGGCGGTTGTGATGGTTGTTCCATAACTTGAGATTGAGTCTGACATGGAGAAGCGAATCCAAATCAAGAAAACGATAATCCATAAAGACATGACCGGAATAGTCAAGGTAGACAAGACTTGGTGCTTGAACACAACTTTCATCATGGAACTCTTGAAAAGAGTGATTATGAGGAGAATCACAGGGCATATCGACAGAGATCAGGAGTCGCTTGATGGAAGCACTTTCGACAGAGGTTGTGCAACATGGAGGATAAGGATCAGCAGCATCAGCACGGATATCAGTTACGAATAATTCTTCAAGGACAGGGCAGCCTCTGATGAGGCGGCGATAGTTGTCGAAATCAAGACCTCCAACTGTTAAGAGAGAGAGTGATTTGAGCGCAGGGAGAAAGACACGCTCGACTTCAAGACAATATTCACGGGATAGTGTGAGCTTAACCAGTGTGTTGCTGCTCGTTAACAACTTTCTCTCTAAATTAACTTCGAAACTTGTGCATTCCAAGTGTAATTCTTCCAATAAACCTCCCTCCATTGCACTCCAGATCCAACCGTAGACAGCAAGGGACTTAGAGCCTCCTCGATGACTCAGAGAGAATTTCTTGAGCATCTTGCTCGGACAGGGACAGTTTCTTAATGTCTTGTCTAGGAAATCTAAGAAGCGATGTGATGAAACACTTCCTACTTGTTCGTTGGGATACACAACCATTGACTCATCAAAGCTAAGAGTGTCTACGAGAGCCAGCAGATTACTATTCTTCCTCCATCTCTTGGACAGAACCGATGTGGAAACAGCTACCTTTGTCGGAACTAAAGACAGGATTTTGCCAAGAATCTCATCGGGTAAATCGCTGATTCGATCTCTATCTCTTCTACTACAACAACTCATAACTCTTCTACCCTACGCACTAAAAACAACTTCGATTAAGGAGAGAGAGAACGCAGAGCTTTTCTCAAACTAAATTAAATTATTAGTTGAGATACAAAAAGAAAACAAAAGAGTTATATGGACCCATAGGCCCATTTTTCTTTTTTCAAATGTGTCGGCGGATGGATCTAGAGTGGGCCTTTCGGGTTTTGGTTTCCTTTTCTTTTGGTTTAGTGATTTTCAGTTAAAAAGTGACTTTACAATATACTAGTGGTTGGTCCGCGCTTCGCGCGGATTGTTCTTTTTTTTATTATGTTATTCGAACTGTGTTTTTATGACATATGTTGTGTTCATATGTCTTTGGGTTTGGTTCTATTTCCTTAATGAATGTTGAATATGGACTGCTGAAATTTTGTGGGAGCAGCATACAACATATGATATAGGGATGTATCATATGCTTATCAT